AGCCAGGTTACTGAGGCAATACAGCTCCCTCTAGCAAACCTAGGGCCGTGTAGTGCCCGTCCACCTTTCTGATGGTGTCTGCCTCCGCGCACAAAAATGAGATGGGCATCACTGCCTACGCCGACGGCCAGAAAGGCCCGCGCATCTACATTTTCCCGCCTGACCCCATCAGTGCCGACCCAACTCCACCACCACACGCACGCCTCGCGGCGGATGCGCAGCAGCAAGAAGGTTTCGGTCATCCCTTGAGGGTGAGTCTAGCCCTGCTCGCCAGAAAGACCGCCCCCTTCGCTACAACCCATGCCTAAGCAAAAGCTTGTCGAGGCGCGAGGGGAAGAAGGGAGAGGAAGAACGCCAAAAACAGAAAGAAAGGGACAACAAAAGTCGGCATAAGGCCGCAAAAGAAATGCATGACGTCGAACACAACAACACCTGACGACGGCGGGGTAACTCCTATCGTCACGAACGGTGCTAAGGCCAAATACTATGAGAGGAGAAACGTAGCACACCATAGATGAGTGGAGAAAAAGTCCTGTATCTAGAAACACAAGGAAACCTTGAAGAGGTGTATGTAGGGGAGATGCGACAACTAAAAACCCCCATCATTCGCACGCACCAGACTCCCAACACTACTGGAAACAGGGGAGAGAGGAAAACAAAGAAATAGTATAGCCGGGGACGGCAAGTCGGCGGATAAAACCGGGGGAAAGGCACTCAGTCCTCTGTCTACTATGCGGTACACTCCGTTCTCACCGACTGTGGCGCTGTGTTGCGTATTATATGGTATTGACCATGGTTTGCAATCGGAACGCGCTGGAAAATACTTCCCAGGGCGGTCGTCGAGCTGGCTGCACGTGTGCACTCCAACAATTTTTCCTGCTAAAGCTGCTTTCAAACGAGTTGATGTTTTCTCGTAATGCACTATGCGCCAACTATTGTGTTGTGGAAAGAGACAACTTCGTGTGTACGCAATAAATCGACTTCATGGTCGACGAGGGAAAGCAACGGCTGAATCCTCCTCCCGAATAATATACCAAGGCAAGCACCGCAGCAGGAAAGAGGGGAAAATACTCCTGTCTGCGTGACCCCGGCTGGTGCGTCCAGAAATCGTACCACACAGTACAACAGAGGACCGACGTCTACAATAAGAGAGATGGCAAGTTTTGCCCTAACACTAACTCACCTCGCTTTTTTAGTTATTGTTCATCAATATTAATATCAGCGCTCACAGCTTTCTGCCGGGTAGGAGCTCCAATCCGTTCTCATACTGAGGCCCTCTACCAATCCGTCCAGCGGTGCTTGCCTCCAACGTTCGACCCGAGAAAAGTGAAGCAACCTCCCCCCTCGAAGTGTGCACAGGAGCTACGTAGACCTTTCCACAACCACGGACAGAAGCGAGAGAAGACACAACGCAAGAAAGGCTCTCATATTTTGTCAGGATTCGAATCCCCGACCCTAGTCGCTACAAGGTTGCGAGGATACTAATTAAACCCCAGTCGTAAAATATGCCATTCCACTCGCTCTGATATACCGCAGTTGTGGGCGCAAAGGGTAAACGGTTCTCTGGGGTTTGAACCCTCTGACAGTTTCCTCCCTTGCGTGCAATATCTCCCATGGTGCTCTACGCCATGGTAATACAGAATAGCAGTACACGTATGTTGTTGTACAACCTATGGTCGGCGCTGCTCTTCTTCCCGCTCCCGACCGAAGTGCATTGCCACAACGGCCATTTTGTTGCAAACAGCATTCTATCACTTTTTGCCTTCAAATCGACGTCAATGAGTGATGACAGGTAAATGAGATTTCCACCCAATCGACGATGTTGCACCCCATGAAATACGCACGAAAAACACTTTGCTCATTCTGCACGATCGGGGGTCATGCGTGACGGTGTGCGCCCAGAAAAATCTGCGAGCAGAGTGATACTGGCCCGAAGCAATCTCCCATGCATCAATAAGTCCCGTGCCGTTCTGCTCTGCGTTACTCTTTTTTGTGACACCAACAGGTAGGTGTGTTCAACTCGGTACAAGGCAGGCACGATGTTTGGGGGGCCAAACCATGTTCTCATCGCCGCGGTGGCTCTCCTGTCCATGGGCCACGTGTCCAGCCAGTGTATCACAGCGCGCTACGTGTGGTGGTACCCGTGTGGATATCACACCGATCCACAAACGTGTGGTGACGCTCTACTAGTTTTCAACATCCATAAGGAGGCCAACGTGAGTGATGCGGTGCCGTTATCTCACACAGCTACATGGGTGACCTCGGTGGCGTGAGAGACGTTTTCTAGACTGTGCTGCGCAAAGTAGATTTGAAATTATCTCACAGAGGGCACATAGAGGAATGTGTGGGCTCTCCCTTTCGTCCAGAGCACGCAACGTCCGACTGATGCATTCATTGGGATCCATTTGCCGACCTTCATTCGCACCTTTGGGCTCTAGCGTTGCCACGATGTCCAACTCGAACACTTCCGTTGCTGTCGCTGCCTCGCGCTTGGTGTGTGACGTCGACCTTCGCAGTGTGTGTCGTCGAACCCGATCGTGACAGCCGATTTCACGGGACCGATCGTGACCAGGGGTCTTGCCAAGAGCACGTACAACGACGCTTGTGGGGGGACGTATCCGATGATCAATTGACCCTAACGTTCAACATGGGCGAAGTTGATCAAGGATACGATGCGCCCGACAGTTTCTATTACTGGAGTTTTGAACTTTATCTTGACAACTGCGACACCTCCTACACCTGGGACGACAACTTTGTCCAGCTGTCCTACGTTGACGAAGAGCAAAACACCACCGACCTGTCCGCATTTGAGGATGCTGACTACATCGATGAAGCGGACACCGGGATATGCCGTGAGTATGGTTGAAGACATTGTGCCCACTGAAGCACCGCTGTAAATGTTCACGGATAGCTCGTCCCCCATGTCTTCGAATCATACAGCCCTGTTGAATTTCTGTACTTGAACCATACCCTAGTTCACCTTCTGCTAATACACTCCGACGACGGCAATATTGATGCATGATAGGTCGAACTGTGTGACAGCTGCTTTCCCACTTCAACCGGATACTACGCCCGTCCGTGCACTCCCTTCTTCTGCTGTCCTCGCAGCAACTCCTAGCCCGACCACGCCAGTGCCTGTCACCGACGCCAACCCTGCCCCCCCTCCCAGTCCCACGGCAGACGGCTCTGGCCCTCTTGCCCTTGGGTGCTACGAGGACGACCGCCAAAATCGGATCATGGATGACCTCGCTCTTTCCGACTACACCATGACAACCGAGGTGATTTGAGCGTTTATTCCACTCCCTGCATCGAAATACGGAGATTTGGTTCCTTGGAGAATGGAGTACGTAGACAACACCCAGAGGTACCAGCAGGCGCAAAACATATTCCTGACAATTTGGCATGCTTGGTAGGGATTTCTTCAAGAAAGACGCCCAACATGCGGTGACCTTGCCGAGACTCGTACCCCGGAAACTGATCTTGATGGTCAGTGCAACGCATTACTTACTCTCGGGTGATGTCACCGCAAACTATATGTAGTTGATCTGTACAGTTTACACTCCTCAGCTCTTATATCGAAGTTTGCCGTTGTTGGCCATACCTCATAAATCCTACACAACCACAAGCGTCCTGTGTCCACGAATTGCATTCATGCATACCCCTGCAGGAGCCCCCCAGACCTTCGGTGGAGTGTGGACTTGCACTGGCACGCCGACTCTATGAATGGATTCGGCTGTAGCTCGCGGCGTTGGGTGGTTGCGACTTTTGTACTGGATGGCCAAGAGAAGAATGTTCCCAGCTCCATGTGTGCTCTTACATGAACGTTCATCAATATGTTTTGTTCCATGGTTACCGGAACCTGGACAAATGCCGGCAAGTTCGAAACTACCCAGCCACTGTTCTCTCTCCATTCTGTTCATCGACACCTTTGGTTCGGTGTGTGCTCCCATCGCCTCTTCTCGCTTTCGTGGTTCTGACATCAGCTGTGCGAGCAAACTTGCCTCGGAAACACCTACTTCGCCACCCAGTACGGGCGAGAGGTAAGTTCAAGTAGCTGAACAAGTAGCCTTTACGATCACAGTACTTCGTAATATCCAACTCGTATCATCTGTCGTGATCGCGGTGTCATTGTCGGGATCATTTTAGTGGTGTTGCATTCCGCTTAACGTTCTGTGGCCTCGGCAGGAATAATCAATTGGCGGGTTTGGTCATGGTATATGAAGGAGAGGTGCTGACATGCGATCGCGAATACGTTTGTTCAGAACGTCATATTTTCGTTATATCATCCACCCTATCGAACAGGAATCATCCTTTGCTCTGGCTTTTCGTAGACAGAACGCCCCCAAAGAATGTTTCTCTAATCCGAAACTGAAATTCCTATGCATACGAGGTTAGAATTCCTTTGGTTGTCGTCGGACCACCGGTATGGCCGAGCTTTCCTCGCTTCGACCATACATCCTGTCTGTCTGTCTCTCTGTTCGTGTTGCCAATACCTAAAAACGAACACAAACGGTGCTGGTGTGGTTCGGCTGGTGCGGACTACGCTTTGCATGGGGAGTCCACCGACTGCACCTACGCCTGCGCAGGGGACGCTAACCAAACGTGCGGCGGGTTCGACGCCAACGTCTACCTTTACGCCGCCGAGAGCACTCCCAGCCCCACTCCTAGCCCCACGGCAGACGACTCGGGCCCTCTTGCACTTGGGTGCTACGAGGACGATCGCGTTAAGCCGTATCATGGACGACCTCGCTCTTTCAGACTACTCCATGACAACCGAGGTGACTGAAATGGTTAACGATACTGTTTTCAATAAATTGATCGAATGATTTTTGGTTCGATGGAGGATGAACAATAACCAGTGGTACGTCGGTAGTCAATTTTCCATCTTATCAACAGACGCGAGACATGGTTGTATGATATTTTCCGTCACAACCTGGCATGCTTGGAATGGATTTCCGCAAGAAGACCCCCAACATGTGGCCACTTTGTCGGGGCTCTAACCCCGGAAACTGACTTGTTAATTGGTGAAGAACAACATTTACTCAACACCGAAGATCTTTTGGCGCCCAATTGCGCAACCTGCACAGTTCCTACCCGTCGGCCTATACATCGAATTTCGCGGTTCGTTGCTGGTCATGTGTCAAAAATCGCCCTACACAACAAGGCCGTGTGTCCACGGGGTGCACTCGTGCATGAGCCCCCTAGACGATCACTGTGCGCTTGCACTGGAACGCCGAGTCTATCAATTGATTCGTCTGTACCTTGTGATAGATGGTTGGGGCCAACATACGGAACGGCGAAGCAAGAGCGACCTCATTGTGTGCTTCGGCAGGAACGTTCAAAACACACTCCTCGTATTCAACATTTGACATAGTAGTCGCCCCGGTAGTCTTGTGGGTAACCTCGCAGCCTGCTAAGGGCCAGGTCATGGGTTCGAGTCCCGGCAGAGTGAGTTTTTTTCTCACTAAATAACTCCTGGTCTAGGATGAAAGCGACGCGCTGCAAAGCTCGTTGTTAGTTAACCACAATCGACTTCGTGAGTCGCGAGGGAAGGGATTTCTGTACCCTTGTCGCGATAAAAATACCTCAGGCAGGAACCGCAGGAGGGGGTCCAGCCCCCCTCTCCTATGTCACCTCGGTTGGGTCGTCTAGCTAGTAGAAGTGGAGGATAGGGNTGTACCCTTGTCGCGATAAAAATACCTCAGGCAGGAACCGCAGGAGGGGGTCCAGCCCCCCTCTCCTATGTCACCTCGGTTGGGTCGTCTAGCTAGTAGAAGTGGAGGATAGGGACGAGAGGGGGAGACGACAGAGTCCAATGATGGGAGAAAAAAAAAAAAAAACAGTTGTCGGAAGCCTTCCCGAGCACGGTGAAATTGACGACCACTGTCTTCTCGCTATGCCGTTTATTAATTCACTTTCGGTTTGGCACTTGCTCCCTTTGTCTCGTCTTGCTGTCGTTCTCAACTTTTCGTGGTTCTGACGTCAGCTGTGCGAGCAAACATGCCTCGGAAACACCTACTTCGCCGCTCAGTACGGGCGAGAGGTAAGTTCCAAGCAGATGACAGTAGCCATAACGAGCTTGGAATGTAACCAATTGGATGCATAACCAATTCGTCACATATTTTGAGACCGGGCTGTCATTATGGGGAACCTTATAGTCTTAGGCACTCTTTCATGCAGTTGGATAGTTTTCTGTGTAATATTATGGGACTTGTTAAGGAGTGTTGCTGTATGGCATAGATAGGGTACACAGTCGGTCTAGATTAAGATGGGGGACGTCAGGAGGTAT